CTTACATGAAGTATTTCAGGATAGAGTTATAGTAGCAGGATATGGCTTAGTGCAATCCCACTCTCATTTGACTTGATGGAAGATTTAAGGCTGATTTCAATGGAAGTGTGGTCACTTCTTTTATTAACACTGTATCACAGAATGGATGAGTTTGAGTTATGGTCTTCTCAAAACTCTGACTCTTAGCCCTGTCATGGCAGAACAGAGGCAGCAATGCTTTTGATATTTCACAGAAGCATAGAAAGGTTTGTGTTTGAAAGGACCTCAAAGATCATCTAGTTCCAACCCTCCTGCCATGGGCAGGGACACCCTCCACTAGACCAGGTTGTCCAAAGCCCCATCCAACCTGGCCTTGAACATTCCCAGGGATGAGGCATCCACAGCTTCTCTGGGCAACCTGTTCCAGTGTCTCACCACCCTCACAATAAAGAATTTCTTCCTAATATCTAATCTGAACCTACCCTCCTTCATCTTAAGGCCATTCTCCCTTGTCCAGTCACTCCATCCCCTTGTAAACAGTCCCTCTCCAGCTTTCTTGTAGGCCCCTTTAGGTACTGGAAGTCTGCTCTAAGGTCTCCTTGGAGCCTTCTCTTCTCCAGGCTGAACAATCCCAACTCTCTCAGCCTGTCTTCACAGGAGAGGTGCTCCAGCCCTTTGATCATCTTCATGGCCCTCCTCTGGACTTGCTCCAACAGGTCTACGTCTTTTTTGTACTGGGGACCCCAGAGCTGAACACAGTACTCCAGGTAGGGTCTCATGTAGTAGAGGGACAGAATCACCTTCCTTGACCTGCTGGTCACACTTCTTTTGATGCAGACCAAGATATGGTTGGCTTTCTGGGCTGCAAGTGCATGTTGCCAGGTCATGTTGAGCTTCTCATCCGCCAACACCCCCAAGTCCTTCTCCTCAGGGCTGACAAAGGAGATTTATTGTGGTGACACCAGGCAACAGACTGCTTTTGGTTTTTGATCTAGTTCTGCAAAGTTTTGCATTTGACCCAAGAGGCCAAATCAAGAATTGCTTTTCACATGACTAAGTCAAGCGAAGAGGGCTTTTCCCATTTAAGACAAAAACATATACAAGAAAGCTAAGCTGAGGAATGTTTAGAGATGTGTTTTAAAAAGTACAACTTCACTTTTGCAAGAATCCTAGATTTTTATTTAAAACTAGAGTGATTCTTTATCTATATTCTCCAGTTATGTGAGCTAACTTGTTACTACAACTGGTGTCAAAGAGTAAGAGTATTTTGGACTTGGTAGTTGCTGACTTTCCTCAGACTGTTAGAATATTATTATAAAATGTAATGATATTATTATTATTATCACTTACCATAACGGAAGATACAGAATTATGAGCATGTAGTCCTTGCTCCCAAAGCTTGCAGTTTATTTTAGTAACAAGAATAAATTACAGTAGGAAAAAAAGTCAGATTTTTGTGGTTATGGGAGGAAAAACTTTTCAATTTGTTCATTAATCTTTCTTCTTCCTCATCTTCATACATTCATCATTCATCTTTCTCATTTCTGATTAGATGTTCCAGCAGTATGCTATGTGTGATGCCACAGACATTTGTGGATATCCAGTCTATATCTCCCTTTCTGACTAATTGTCATGTAGTTCAAGATCAGATCTCATATGATAAGCCATTTATTTATATATAAGAACTCTTCCCCACTCTCTTGCTTTCTGAGGTTTCATTTTAAATGAAGTTTCATTTTAAAATCTCAAAATATTTATGCTAGAATCCTTTAAGAAGCAATATTTAGACTTTTGTGGCTTTTTTGACATGCAGTGGTAGTTTGACTTATGATGACCATGTCCCTAATTGCATCTCTGTACTTATTTTTCCTCCTGAACTTCTTAAAGGTGGTATTTAGTTTAGTATCATACAGCACTATAGATCTGTCAACAGTGATGACATACAGGGTACTATATAATTATTGAATCATAGAGTTAAAACTTCTAGACTTTATCAAAACCCACAGAAAGTCACTTGGCAGTAAGCCACCAAACCCAATTTTTTTCATTGCTTGTGTTTTGATTATTTTTTTTTACTTTAACTGCTGCTCAAAATGAAACACCTGGGGGTTTAATTGCTCATTATACTTAAATCTGTGAAGTATTATGGGCCAAAGCATACTGCCCTGTGGAAGATGTTTATACATATTAATCTATTTGGTAACATGGATAATAGAATGAGCTCAATTTTTGCTACTGATTTAATACTAAAGAATGTAAAGCTCACCCTGGTCATGGTCTACCAAAGTTTCATCATGTCCCAGACACATTCTTCAGAGTATTTTCATGCTCACAATTTCGTTCATATTGGTAGCCTTTCTTATAAACTGCTGTCCTTTCAGATGGTCTACAAATGTAGTGTGCGAGCTGATACTCAGACCCATGAATAAGCGGCATCTATACACCTGTAGCTACGCTTATATTTGGTATATCAAACACCCTGTTCCCTTTTTTCTGAGGGGATCCAACACATTGTTTTGGATGATTGCAGCTCTAACTGGAAAGCAGTGGGTATGATCAATATTTGTTCACTCTCCTGTTCAGTATGGATGCAGTAACTGATGACATAGTACTATGAGGTCATCTTCCCTCTGGAGTTTGCATCTGGCTCAGTTTTTAGTTCATTTTCTCCTAATGGTAAAGTTATTTGCTCTCTGACTGCTGTATCTTGGATGAGAGCTATTTGGTTGAAAGTAGCTGAGAAAGATATTGTCCGGAAACAATTCTCAGAAATGGTAGAAGTTCATCTTCTTGCCAAATGAATCGGTACAGCATCTATTATTTGAGTTTATAAAATTTGTTCCATTTTTTTTGTTCTGGGTTATCTATTCATTTTCACATTGTGTTTATAGTCAAGGTGGAATATTTGTGTGTGTAAGGCTGCATGATCACAGCATTTTCTTTAGATATGGGCCACCTTTGTTGCCCTTCAGCTGATTAACACAGTATATATAGACAAAGAAGAAATACCAGTTGGACTTACTCTTTTCAGCATTTTCCACATGGAGAGCACCAGTTATTTTGGCTTGTACGATATAGAGAAGATTTGGTTGTGTTTGATAAAAATCTTGCATGCTTTGGGTTCTTTGTTGTTTCTACATGCTTTATACCACAAGGTCAAGAGAAATGAACTATGTGATGCTCAGATTTCCGAACCTGTCCCGAGATGCTGATGGCACAGGGTTGTTAAAACACGGGCTTTTCTCTTTCGGCGCTTGGAGCAGTATTCCAAATGGTATTTCCTTTAGCCTGTTTTCCTGGAGGATGGGAGATTTGACTTTGCTTGCACAGATACTTTCAGTTTAGTACTGATGATTCAGGAATTCTTTATTAATTAGTGCAGTTGATTTGGATTTATTATGTATATTTTAAATGACTGACCTACCTGTATGTGCTTGGACCTGAAGGTCAATATATGCTGATCCAAATAATGGAATACTGCCTTATAGAGCTTCCCTGTCTTTCTCACATAATCCCTTTGAGTTTTTGAGTAGGATTTTGCCATGTAAAGGAGAGCTGATTGTAATATAAACAAAGAAATAATATCAAATTAGCCATGAGATACTACTCATACTTAAGACATGCATAACTTTTTATAAGGGAGAGAAGAGATTGCAGAAGTTCCAAGTGTAGCTTTATTCATTTCTCCTGCTCAGAAATGTATTGTTAAGGCATTAAAACTTTGTATTAAAAAGCCCATAATCTTATTTAAAAATAATGATATTTTAAATGTTAATTGTACAAGCTAAAATATCTTGTTAGGTCATTTACAAATATCTAATTATTTCCTTTCCAATAATGCTTTTGTAGCCTCAAATTGTAATTATAAAAATAAAGAATCAATGCACAAAAGAAATAACAATAGGTAACTTTTATTGTATATATTACAGCTATGTTTAAGAGGTGGACTTGAAAATTAATTCAGCTATTAAAAACTGTGAAAGCAATATGACGAAATAATAGTGCCCATATTTTCTCTAAAGCTTACCGCATAAAGACCCTGACAAGCCTGCCTTCAAGGTTACTAGCAATAGTAACTGTTAGGCTTGCAACTTGTGTTTCTTTTACACCCATATGGCAGAATTATGCCTCCCAGAGGTAAGTTTTGGTATTGGAGAAAGATGCTGCAGAGAACAGGGGTAACCTTAGAGCCTCCTATATTGACAAAGCCTCAAGAGAATATAAAAATCCTATGGGTGATGCAGATGATCAGAGCATTCTTGTTTACTGGTATTTCGCACTCACTTTGCCCAGATACAAATTTCAGTGCTCCCCAGCATCTGCTGAATCAATTTTACTGCCTTTATGGGAGCAGAAGAAAAGGATCAGCACTCTGGAGTAATGGAACCAGCCACACATTTGATAATAATTACCACAATAGAGAGAAGTTTTATTTCATTTCTTGTTACAAAATTGTTGGCTTCATATTACTTTTAGAAATAATGGCGAGCTCTAATCCAGAAAAAACATTAAGTGGTTGACGTGTCTATAAACAATTAATCTTTTCAGTTTCTGTTATGTTTTAAAAATTGAATTAAATATGATTGGTTGTTCCAACAACACTGCCTGTTTCATTGGGACAGAATTTATAACTTCTATTATAAATCTAAAATGCACGTTTAGGTTTCTCGTCTGTGTGTGTATAGTAGCTTTGTAGCCTCGCATTCTGATAATGCAATTTTTTTCTTTTTTTCCTTTTTTTTTTCTTTTTTTTCCCCAAAGAAGAAAAAAGTAAAAGTTCTATACATTTCATTATGGAACATTTATAAGATAATTTCCATGACAGCCATATAATAAAATTCATGTTTACTTTGTTTCTGAGTTCTCAATGTCTTTTTAATGACTCCTGTGTAATTAAAACAGAATGCATAATTTGAGGTTACATAATATAAATCAGTTTTGTTTGCATGATGTTGACTAATGTTAATACATGTACAATATACTGTTTAAGGACCTTACATGGATTTGTCCGTTTGTTGCAGAACTGTGAGAAACTAGAAAATAATTTTGATGACATCAAGCACACGACTCTTAGTGAGCGAGGAGCACTTCGAGAAGCAATGAGGTAAGTCTAGGTCACCATAGCAACAGTCACAGATGTGGTAAAGAAAGAGTCATTCTTCATTATTGGGGGAACAAATGAGTTCATTGCCACCATTCAGCTCTATTCTCTAAGGTATTAATTTGTCAGTGGAGAGGCTTCCCTTGAGGCTGTACTTTGGATTTGAAGCTGCATAAATGTTAAGCCTGACTGCACAGTAAAAAACGTAAATGTTTAATTTGTTATTTAAAATGCTTAAGGGGTGCCTTGCTTTATATTTATACTAAACTGTGAGTGAATGAAAATATTGTTCATCTAAATTCTGTAAGTGTTAAAGCAATTGTACAATGCTGTTTGAACAAACCTGTGTTTGCTTTTAAATTGGATTTGATTTTTATGTATGTAATTACTATGTACTCTGATTTTTATCACCAGATTTACATGATTTTGGTTTTGCTTATGGAACATTAAAATCTATCTGGTCCTTCATATATTGTAGAGATGTATATTTTGCTTAATATCCTCATATCATTGCACTTAATGCTTATTAGAGGAGGTTAAAATTAATCAGTACATGAATCTTCTGTCACCCTTACTTGCACTGTAGAGTATCTAGGTACAGGACTCCAAAGAAACTTGCCAGCTATAGTACTGGGAAAAGGGAATGATTACTATACTGAATGGTGGCAGAATCAAAGATAGATTTTCACTGCATAATCAGGAACATGTTAATTATAGTATTATCTGTGGATCAGAAAATTATAGTGACCTGTGCTTTTAAAGGTTTTGAAAGTTGGATCATAAAATGTAATGATGCAAACATAGTGCTTCATTTCACTTGCCTGATATCAGAGTAACTTCTTAGACTTGCATTAGTGTAGTAAAAAGTTAAAACAACAACAAAAAATACTGAGAATCTTCCTGAACAACTAATTACACCCATTTGTTTTGATTGTGTTCATAATCTCTTTAAAGTTAGGTTTGTATGTGAATGACTTTATTTGCATGACTCTGATGTTGTGTTCATGATACTCTTGTTTCGTGTACACCGCTATGAATAAGCGTTTGTAAGGGTATTCTGACTTGAAATGCAACTTGCTTCTTTTGAACCCTTTCTTATTACCCCGAAATTATATTCTTTCCTTTCTGAATATTTCAACTACTACTGTTGCAAATAGCTGTAAAAATAATGGCATTCACCTTTCTAATTGCAATTTCTTGCTTTTTGCTTGTTTTGCTTCATAAATTTAGGGTTTTCTCCCTATGTGGTCGGTCACCTGGGATACATAGATCTTTTGTGTAGTGCTGATAAATGGAAACTGATTTAAAATAAAGATTTGGGGAACTTTTGGCGTATGCAGCTACTTTTAGTATATCCAATAAATTGGATTTCAAGTTGCTGCTCTCCTGTAACAACATTCCATGGGTAGGTTTGTGGCGTTTTGCGATACATGAATCAGCAGAGTTAATATTTTAAAAACTTGGGAGCTGACAGCTCTTTGGTGGTAAACATTCACTAGCAAAGGGAGCTTTGGCATTTCAAAGGTCATGTTTCTGTTACAAGGACTGTGTAGAAGATTCTCATGATTCTATGCCATGCATACAATAAAAAGCACTTTACTATCTCATAAATTTGTATCCTGGCTATTCCTGCTAGTGTACAAGCTGTTCTGAGAAATAGTTATCGATTGTGAAGTGTGACAGATATTGTGCAGTGCTGGAATTCTCTTAATTGCAGTCAATATTATCTGGTTGATTTTCTTCTTAGTTGTTTTTATGGAGGTAAAGAAAATATCTGACTTTCTAAATTAAGACTGTAGTATACTTTTATAACATACTTGAGTAACACATAAAAGGTGCAAAATGTTAATTTAGAGAGGTATATGCATGTATTTTTCTAAATGTGTGTAAAAGACACTTGCTATTTTAGGCTGTACAGTTCTTTCAACTGCTACATAGTCACCCCATGTCCTTGGTGGCTGCATTTTTCTATTTGGATCCCAAGATTATCTGTAGCATATGTAATTCAAATGGTACATTTTGACTTGCTAAAGTTCACTTTGCTTTCCCATAACTATGGTGGACCAGGTGTGGGGACACATAGATTTGCTGGCCTCAGTATTGTGAGGTACCTGCCCCCTTTTGGTAAGGGAAGCATGTGGAGAGGGTTGCACATTGCACAAAGACACTAAAATCATGTGGGCATGAAAACAACAACAACAAAATGCTAGTTGGATAGCTGAGTGGATATATGTGGATCTCAGATGAGCCTTAAGTTGAGTGAGCAGTCTGTCCAAATCCTCTCTGATTTCCCAAAGTGGTACTACTGGTCTGTCAGATGAGAGATAACAATGAACATTTTCCCCCAGTTCTCCTGTTTGGAAAGAGACCTTCCATTTTAACTTTCTCTTTGAGAAAAATGGTCAATTTAATATGGGTTTCAGTACATTTCTGGTCTATGAATATCACTGTGCTCTGCATAAACAAACACTAATATCCAAGAAGGGTCTTGTTCTTTTTCCAGCTCTTCACAAACTGACTGGTATTCAAATTAAGGATTACATGAAAATCATCTTTCTTGTTTATGTATATAGATGTATGCAAAATAAACTTTCTGAAGGGTTTCAAAATGATGATAAAGCATATGAACTTTCTCTAGTTCTACTTTGCATATTTTTTTAGACCTTGAATGAGATAATGAGCTGATAGTAGTTTGCCATTACTCAGTGTATAAAGAGTGGTAGTGTAAGAATTTGGTGTACTTATGATTCCACATAAAGTCATAAAGCATTCAATTCAGTTAATGTTTTGCTTATTTTATTAATGTATTCCAAATGGTTTATTTATTATTACATTTTAATGCAACTGCAAAGCTTAAGTAAACAATAAAAGCACATTAGTTTTTTTGAATTGGGGTTTATAAATGGACAGACTATCACTTTACATACCTTGAATGTGTATACAATAATTTAATTGGGTATTTTATGTAGTAACTTGGCAGAAAAATAGCATAGATATATACCTATAATGTATCAAGTCAAGTTGCATAAGGAAGACCATTAAGCTTTTGTTAAACAGGGCTCAATTTGTTCTTAATATATAATCACTGTTAGAAATCTGGATCCTGATCCTCAGTAAAGCTTCATCTAGAAATTTAAAGGAGCTTTTAGACTGATTTGGCTGCTATGAGGAGATAATTATTTGAGGATGAGGAAAAGGCAGCGCTAACTGTATGCTGACCCTGGTAGTCTTTCATAGGTTGCAAAACGAGAATGTGGACTGCTGCAGTAACCGTTCCCCTGGGAAATAGCTTAAAGTAACCTTGAGGAGTCTTAAAAACAAACAAAAACCCACAATGAATCGTTCTCCCAAATATAAAGTAACTTTTAGAAGAAGTGCGGAAGAAATCCAAACCCCATTATTAATATCAGTTTAGAAGAAGATAAGGTTTAGGGAGTTAATGAGGTAAAGGAAAAAAGCAACAGACATCAGCTGGCAGGAAGGGAATTTTTTTTTCCACTGAATCCATTCACTCACTTTGTGTCCAGGCATCTGTTGTTGGTATCAAGAGAGAATCACAGACTTGCTGAAGTTGGGAGGGACCATTGGAGATGATCTAGACCAGCGGTGTCCAAACTATTTTGATTGTGCACCAGCAAAATGGTTTTGAGCAATATGTGTATGTTTATTTCTTTACAAATTATATAGATGTACCACTGTACTAATGTGTTATGTGCATTATAAAACACACACAAGAATAGAAAATTAAAAAGGATGAGATAAAGATGAAATAAACACTACTGATTACTGATCTAGCTCAGCTTTCCTCCTCAGAGCAGGGTCAATTACAGCAGGTTGCTCGGGGCTGTGTCCAGCCAGGTTTTGTATATCTCTAAGGATGGAGACCTCACAGACTCTCTGAGCAAACATCTTCACAATAAACAACAAAACCCAAACAAAAACCCCCAACAACTCCCCCCCCCCCCCCCGCACGCCTTTTTTTTGGTGGGGGGGAAGGTTTTGTTGTGTTTGGGGTTTTTTTTAACTGGAATTCCTTGTGTTTCAACTTGTGCCCGTTGTTCCTTGCCCTTTCATTGAGCACTTCTAAGAAGAGTCTGGCTCTGTTGTATTTATTCCCTCCCATCAGGTATTTATATATATTGATAAGATCCCCCTGAGCCTTCTCTGCTTAGGGGGGGGCTAAATGTTTCCAGCTCTCTCAGCCTCTCCTCATCTGACAGATGCTCCAGTCCCTTCTTCACCTCGGTGGCCCTTTGCTGGACTTGCTTCGGTATGTCCATGTCTCTCTTGCCCTGGGGAGCCCAGCACAGGACACAGCACTCCAGGTGTGTCTCACCAGTGCTGAGCAGTGGAGAAGGATCTCCCCTGTTGACCTGATGGTGATGCTTTACCTAATGCAGCCCAGGATGCATCTGGCCTTTGCTGCAAGGACTGGCTCATGTTCAGCTCGTCCTTCAGGAACCTCAGGGCCTTTTCTGCAAAGCTGCTTTCCAACTAGTTGGCCGCAGCCTGTATTCGTGCCTGGGCTTGTTCCTTCCTAGGGGTAGGACTTCACTGGGTTTTTTTTGTGTTTGGGTTTGTTTTTTTTAAACTTCATGAGGTTTCTGTAGGCCCATTCCTCCAACCTGTTGAGGTCCCTCTGAATGGCAGCCCAAACCTTTGGAGTTTTAACCACTCCAGTAGATGATAGATTGCTTTTTAACCCTGTACTAGTAATATGCTTTAGGCCATGTCTAGTGTAGATTTCATGAACCTGGTGTCAGATAAATGAAGCCATAGTGTTTAACAATCTGAATCTGGCGTTGCAATTGTTTACTTATCAGCTGAGTTTGTAAGCGACCATGGTGGCTTATGGCAGTGAGCAATCAGATAGTAAGCCTGGTGAAATCTTAAATACGTGAATGGGTCCTACTTGTAGGTGAATATGTGTACCGTCTATCCTGTGAACGTTGACTGAGTTAGTATGCGTGAAAGCTTTGCAAGTGAAAATTAAAGCTGAGTAT